AAAAATAAATAAACTCACATGTCCGCCAGGTATCGCTGACCTGGCGGACACGTCACCTCCGGCGAGCCACGCGGGCGTCTTCGGCGCCGGAGGACTAAAACAGCGAAAATTTTTCACTTATGTCACTAGTTTGTGACAGGCTCCACTTACGGGATTAAAATGATAAAGGGGTCCAGTTACGGGACTAAAAAAACAGTTTACCCTTTAGTTAATTCAATTTAGTGGAAAATTTTAAAAAATAAATTCTAAACAAAGTTAATAAATTTTTATTCGTAATTTTTTTAAATAAAAATTATTTTTAATATACATGCACTACTTTAGAATACACATCTACATAAAACTTAACTGCATAGTATTTTTTATGGCATTCAAAATTCTACCATTTTTAAATAAAATAATTTAGTGTTCAACATGTAAAAAAATAAATAAAAGAAGTGTTCATTACAAAACATACAAATCAAACATGCCAATTAAATATTTGACATAAAATCAAGGGTCTTGTCTTATTCTTGCTTGAAATTCGTCAATTCTACTTGAACTTGGTGTTGCATACGGAAATAATATGAATTGAAACACATAATTTTCTCCTAAAGAGAGTTGTGTACTTGGACCTCCTTGAAAATCATCACATAGTAGTATGCTTTGACTCTTTTTTGATATAACATTTTTTCCTATAATAATAATAAACATCAAAATACTTTCATAACAAATAAACATAATATAACGTTAAAAAAAATTATATAGCATATAATTTAACTTACTTGATGCGACAATCTTACATTTTTTTTCTTACTCTTGTCATCCCAATGACGCTTATGAATATTGACCATAATTCCTCTCTTTTTCATAGTCAGTGGATCACATACTAGAACTTCAGTCTATCGGGAAACACATCATTGCAAATATTTGCATCATTTAAATCCATATATCCCAAGCAAGCTTGTATATTTTTTTCTATGTTTCATACCCTCAATTATAACCAATCTTGCTTCTGCATTGGTTTGACTAATGAAGTAAGATCATAAAACTTCTTCATTGTTGTATTGACAAATGCCAACTCAGTAAGAAAATTACTATTACTATTTTGAGTTGCATTGTCACTTGGGGTAGAGAATGATACACTTTTGGCATATTTGATCCATCACTTCAAAATATATTTTTCGGGTATCATAATTTGTCTAGTATTTGTATATACCGACAAAATATGTCTGCATAATATACCCGTAGTTTCAAACTTATGACAAGTGCACCAAACTTCACCTGTATTACTTTGAAGTTGCACGATGTACTTTTTCGAACTACCATTAAGAGACATGATCGTAAAAATCCTCAAGCTACCATCCAAATATTGAGGTTCCTCCACACACCCAATAGATAACACTTCTCTCATTTTTGTATCAAACAACTTGAAACTTTTGTGTGTACCATGACAGCTTGCTTGAGTAACGGTTTATGAGGACTAAAAAGTGGGGTTGTTTATGTGTGATTCAATGTCATTTACCTTCTCTTTTGCTCGCCAACTACTTACAACTTCTTCATAACTTTGAACACAATGTAGCAATGTCGAAGTACTATTTCCAATTTCAGCCTTTAAAGTTGTATTAGTACCTTCACTCCGAGATGTAGCCATAAGCCGAGCACTAAACACCTCAACGCTAAAAGTAGTCAACCATCTTTGTCGTAAATTATACATCGTATTGAACCAACTATGTTCATTAATTCCGTGATCAACCACCATCTCTTTGCCTCGAATTCTTCTTCAGATTCACAAAAACTCATGCACTTTCTCCATAATCTTTTGAACTTTGAGTCGGAGTTCAACATTACAAAATATGATGGGGCATTTTGATTAATATGCCACTAACACAATCTATGATGAACAAGGGGAAACTTGTTGTCGACTGCATTTATGATTGCTTGACTTTGATCCATAAACACAACCCCCGGTTGTTTATTGCCCATGGACTCAAGAAACACGCCTAAAAGCCATTCAAATGATCTTTGACTCTCATCAGTTAAAAATGCAAACCCAAACATGACATTTTAATTGTGATTGTGAATTCCGACGAATGGAGCGCAAACAAGTCCATACTTATTAGTTCGGTATGTTGTGTCGAATGAAATGACATCATCAAAGCAAGCATAATCTGTTAAACATTAATATCATCTTCATCCACCTCCATATTCCAATAAAAATGTAGTTCATAAAGTGATTTGTTTCTAATATGCTGTACCACTTCAATTGCATCACCTCCACTAATTTTTCCTTTATTTCTCCTCTCTCTAGCAACTTCATCAAATACATCTCTTTGAATGAATCCTAAGTTGGTCTCTCAAAAGCAGATTGCATACTAGCATTCAACAGTGCACTATTGTTCTACGTTCTTCACTCAATCCACGGTGAAATCACAGTAAATATGCTTAATCGGGGCTATACAATTCATGCAATTCTGCTTCATCCAGTAGAATATTTAAATCTAAATCCATTTATGTTGTTGTCTACAGAAATAATAATAATAATAATAATATTATTATTATTATTTATAATATTTTTATGATATTAAACTACATCAGTTGAGTTTAAAAAAAATAAGGAAAAAAATCTAATGAAAAAAAAAAAAATTAATAAAAAAATAGTAAAACAATTAAAAAAATTGTGTAAAATTTAGCTAAATATAATATATACTTTTTTTAACATGTTTAAATTATCTTGATATATAAAAATAGTAAAAAATAAAAATTTTCTAATAATAATAAAAATATTATAATTATATAAAATCATGTGTACTTTATCAAATTTGTTTTCAAATCCCTTCAAATAAAAAGAAAAAAAAAGCCTGATTGAATTAAATAAAGTAACTGTTTTTTTATGGAAAAAATATATTAAATCAAATAAAAAAGTATTTAAAACTTACTTAAATATAGTGTGTATATATTTGTTCTCGTACATTTAAAATAGATTGATTCATAAAAATAGTAAATAATATTTTTTTAATAATAAAAAAAATATCAATAGTTTTTTTCACATCATAAAAAAAAAATAAAAATATATGTCCAATTAAAATAAATAAATAAACTATTTTTAATGAAAAATTAATTTTATATAAATAAAAATAGCAAATAGAAATTGTCTAATAATACTTTTTATATAAAATCACATATAGTTATTAATTTTTTTCACTAGTTGAGATAAAAAGAAAAAAAAAATCTAATTAAAATAAATGAATAGTATGATTTTTAATGAAAAATTATTATATGAAATAAAAAATTGTAAAAATTAAATAAATATATTATATATATATTTCATAAGTTTAAAATGTTTTGATACAATAAAACATATAATAAAAAAATAATTATTGGGTATGCTTAGATATAGAATGAAACAAAAGTATAATATCCAGTGTATTGCTTCACCAATTCAAAAATTTGCCCTTGCATTTGTCCACATCAAAATTTTATTAGTCTTATAGATCAAATATATAATGTATTTAAAAAAAATAGAAACTCTAATCTTTTACGAGAGAAAAAATAAATTATATTGTCAAATGCTGATTCATTTAAAAATGGTGAAACGATTACTCCCATTTCAAATTTATCTCATAAAAGTTGATGGAAAAGAAATTTTTTTCTTATATACAATATGCAACAATTGTATACAATATATATAGAAACTCTTATACAATATTGGAATGTGAAAGGTTTTGTAATAGTTACTATATTAAAGCCTAAAACTTTACTTGTACAACGTTCCTATCATAAATCATGTCAATATTAATAACATGGTCTTCTAATAATAATAATAACTGTACATAAATAAATTTTTTTAAAAAAACATAAAGATATTGCCACCAATAACGGATCAACAGGGCTAGGGGGTCATCTGACTCTCCAAGCCCTTTCTAAATTTTTTTTTAAGTGTAATTTTTTTTAATTTTTTATTTAGTAATCAAATTTGCCTTCAATTTGGGATTAATACTCTACCTGAACCTCCATATTTATTATTATTTTAATTTATAATAATATATAATATTTTTATTTATAAATATATTATATAAAAAATAAAATATTTTATTTTAAATATTATTTTTGTTTATTTTTTTTTTTTTTACAATCATATTACAGTGTTAATAAAAATTGAAAAAGTTAAGATGACATCAAATCAGTAGAAATGAATCGTCAAGAAAGTTCTTATATTATTTTTTGTATACACAAAAATAGCCGGTTGAAACTAAAAATAAATAGTAAAAAAAATAAAATAAATAAACATAACAATTTTGCCCATTAGAGTCGCAAAACTGGTTCCGGTGATTGCCACACAACTGTGATTTATTGGCCCTGCTCTACCAGGAGTACTGCTCGTGAGAGCAGGGTCTACTAAACTAAAATGGAGTGTCAATTGAAAAATGGGAACCGTGAGTGCACTAATTTATTTGTCGAGTTAATCTTGAGTGCTATTCTTTCCCAAATCATATTTAAATAATCAATTTTTTTTATATGGGTTTTTTTTTTTGCGCACCCATAAGTGCGCAGTGAGTAAACCTCGATCGAATCTAATACCCTGCAAATTAAGCCCGAATGGTTGATATGGTCTTTGATAGATATTTTGGTTGTTGGGGACGGAGCTACACAAATTTTAGGTCCATAGATCTGTTTGCTTTTAAATAACTCTTATTTCGATTTCAAAAGTTCATTTGCATTAACAGTCAACTATATATACATCTTCAAGATCTTGTACTGGAAAACTTCCCCAACGTCCCAAAACACTATATCACATAAAGTTTGAAATCACTTATGCATTATTACAACTGTTAAACGAATTACTTGACTCAATTCGGGTCGGTGAAAGTAAACAAGCCGAATCTAACAATATATATAGAGCCGTATTTGCGAACATTCGTTAATATTATATATATATATAGTATTGTTAATTAAAAAATAAAATAAAATATCATATCTATATAATAGACCAACATGAGTCTTCTAAGCAAATATTAAAGAAGAAACACAAAAACTTATTAAGCAAATGCAAATACAGTGTGAAATATTTTATTTTTATTAAAAAGAATACATCAAAAACTTATTTTATCACGTCCAACAATACATATACCTCGTCATCGCAATGCAGCACCATGTCATCCTCCCGACAAGAAACTGCTGCCAAATTATACTATATATTTCCTCACAATCATCAAAGGAGGCAAATGAGACAACAGAGGGCCTTACATAGGAATGTTGTGCAATCCAATATTGAGGTCGGAAGAGATTGAGATGAGGAGACGGCGGGCGTGGGCGTTGTGCCACGCAGCTTTGAACACTCTCTTCTGATGAGCCCTTATAGACTGAGAAGGCTTGTGAGTGTTGAATCTGATATCGAATATGTGTATTGCAGGGTCTGTCGATCCAGAACTCATGTACAAACCGTCGGGAGACCACGACTGATTTATGAGAGCCGACTGTGAGTCGCTGCACTCTTGATTCCACCCGAATGCATGGATTTCTATTTGCCTCAGTCTAAGATCAAATAGGCGTAGCTGCCGCTCTGGGGTCCTGCAAATATGGCAAGCTCAAAAAAAATTTCATTAAGTTTTAAATCAAAAAATCATGGGCCCGAGATTGCTACCAATTTTAAATCGAGTGATAACAATGAAACTTTGCCGTATCCATGTATTGTACGGCTAAATATAGAGATAAATATTTTTCTACAATACTAAGGTGCAATTAGCAGAGTTAAAGATGAAGAGCAATCGCAGATTCGAATACAAAACTCACCCTGTCTGAACCATAAAGAGGTTGAAGTCGCACGGATTAGGCAAAACACTCATGCATTTGCTGTCCAACTGGTGTGTGTAATCCAACCTTTCTGTTTGTACATTATAACCAACAATGCGCTTGTCTGCACCGACAGACATCACAATATTCTTATGCTGAATCCCAGCAACTCCCATCACAGCAGAGGAATGGTGATGTTTGTGTAGAGGTTTTGCTTTCCAAGAGTCTTCGGAGTCTTTCTCAGACCAGATAAATACAGCATGATCACTTCCACCCGTGACGAATTTCGTTTCATCCCAAGGCATGAACATTATGCTGTTGATGATGCCCTTTACGTGAGGCTTGTCTTGCAGAAAGTTTACGCGGGTTTTCTGCAGGTTATCCAAACAAGGTTACTACTAAAAGCAAGCTTCTCATTCAGAGCTATTGAAAGTATATGCATTTGATCAATCAGAGCCATTGATCAAAAGGAAAAAACTTAAAAACTCTTATAATTAGTCCCATAATATAATAGATATTAATTTTACTCATAATTTTAATCTGATTTACTTGATCAACTTTGTAATTAGTCCAAACATTTTCACATCTATAAAGATTGATGGAAACCACTGCCTTGCATATTCTTCTTAAATATACACATGCTAATGCTTTTCTTTTCTTTTTTCTTTCAATTGCCACGGCTTTGAAAATCAAAATAACCAAGAACTCTAAAAACTAGTCTATTTGGTCATCAACTTCTTGTGGACTAAAATAGAAATCAACATGCCTTTAGGGATAAAACTGCAATTTTGGAGGGCATCAGAGCTTAACATTCGATACAGTTATTCATTCATTCAAAGGATTTGTCATCATTTGTGCAAGATTTACCATGAGAAGGAATGATCAGGAAAATCAAATACTCCAGACTGCAACACTGAATATTAAAGAATACACAGGTGCCTCAAATAAGAGATTAGCAAAACAGTATCAAATTGTTTGTTACCTCTTTTCCTTTGTTCAGATTCAGAAGGGATATCTGAGAATCTCCATTGTCTGCAGTATAAACTGAAAAGAGTTTGTTTCCCTGTGGACACCAAGCTATGTCCTCCGGCCATCTCTGCTTTTCAGATTGACAATCGGTTGAACTCAGAAGAGTTGCACTTGTTCTGCACTTTATTGTAAGGACAGTAAAATCAGTTGGATTTAGAATAAGTGAATAACTAATTTGCTATCGAATAAAAAATTGAACAGGCTATCATGAACAGAGGAGAAACTATATAGATGCAGAATTCCATTCTATGGATTAAAAGGATATTATCATACCCTCTTCCCTGAACTTGCCATAGATTGACTAATCCATCAAGTGCACTGCAAAATCATAATATAAATTAAGAGAAGTTACAACCAAAGCCGCTGTGCTGTTTTAGAAAAGAAAGAGCACAGTAAATGCAACTTTATACAACTTCAAGAGCAACAAACTGCCTTTTCATAGACAAAAACAAGGAGGAAAATGATAAAAGCACGAACCCAGAATTTTGTATCAAACATTTATGCACAATGAAATGCTGTAAAATATTTCTGTTACAGATAACAAATGCACAGTAAATGCCACACATATATGATACAATCGCTTCGGTTACCATGCTGATTGGGTCAAATATGTTTATAAAAAAAGTAGCACATATTTTGATAGCGCATTATATAATTACATATACCACAATATATTTTTATTTCAGCACAATAACAAAATAAACAAATAATACAGTACAACACAATATATAACCATACAGTAAATATTAATACAATATATAACATAGCATATTATATAATTCCATATAGTAACACATGTTTATATATAGCACACAATATGCTATCTTCCTTGTGATGAAATGCTAATTGCTTCAAGTTAGTGTGTTAACTTGGTCATATGTTATCTGGCATGTGATAAAATGTTAATTGCTTCAAATTAATGTGCTAACTTGGTCAAATCAGCACGGTCATCACCCTAACTGCCGCCATGATACAATATTAGACACAACACACAAACATTCACGACTAGAAACATTTTAGGAACCATGGAAGCATAATGCACAGTTAAAACACAAATAGGATCAAGATATTGAATATGATTCATTCTTCTCCTATTTTTCTATCTTTACAACAATTTGGATCTCAACAAAAATTTCAGACTCAAAATAGCTAGGAAAATAAGTGATATATATTATATATAAACGCAATAGTTGATAACAAAATAGAGAATAAGAAAGAAATTGACTTACTGAAATAAAAAGTATATAAAAAAAATAAACAAATAAATTTCAAAATAAGGGGGCAAAGGGGCAATGATAGAGATGAAAAGGCTAAAAAAAATTAAAGAAATTTCTTTATCATCATCAATCACTTAAAATAAATTAGAGTATTAGACAAAAGAAAGAATTGCACCTTGGGTAACTAATGGACACTCAAGGCATATGCCACAAGCAAGCTATTTAAAAAATGGCACAGAACACTTAGAGCCCTAGAGCACCATGCTTCACAAAGCATGTAACAAAAAATAAAAAAAGAAGAGAGTGTGAGTGATTCTGATTCCTCAAACTCACACAAGTGATTCTACTTAGCTCAAATTTCTAGACTTGGAAGAGAATGCCCTAAAGAAAAACCCAAGATAACAATAGAATATTGGCAGTGATCCTTGTACTCTGCAGTACAATCATCCAATAGAAGAGTAAGGTCAGTGAGGTAAAACTGATGCCAACGAAACATTCACATATCTCAAGTCACAAGTTATAGAACTTGCCAAACCCTTGTAGATCAAGTGGTAAGGCATCCTTGTTTGGGGGCTATGACCCGGGTTCGAACCCGGGTGGGTGCACGTGTGTGTGTGGGGTTAAAAGAAAGTTACAGAACTTTGAGGTTTGTTGTATTGCTAATTTATTCCTACCATTTCTCTTGAGGACATCCCACAACAAAATTTGATTTCCTGTTGTGTACCTCTTTAATTTTCTTCATATAAGTATTCTATGGATAAGAAAAGGCTGTTATATTTCTCATATCATTTATAACATAATCCCACAAGTTTCACATACATGGAGTACATAGGTTCAGCTACAAGATGAACAGAAAAGGATAAGGCCCTTGCACTGTTATCAAACTTAAGTAATATTTGACCAACTTAAAAGGTTGTGACATCAAGTTACTATGAAAACTCTTGTACCCAGAGATCAACGTACATAGGACAAGATCAGTTCATCTATCTACACCAATTTTCCTATCCTAATCTACATTTATGTACACCAATGTTTACCTATATAGTCAGCGCTCCCCCTCAAGTTGGAGCATATATATATAAATCATGTCCAAATTGTCACAAATATAGTTGATAGTTCCTTAGAGAAATGTGTCCCAAGTTGTTCTTCGGAGTTGATCTACTACGTTGAGATGAACCCTTCTTGGACCTTGTCATGAATAAAGTAACAATCAACTTGAGTTTGCTTTGTTTATTCATGAAATATTGGATCAGATGAATTGTTTAGAGCTTGGTTGTCACATATTAGTGAAGACAAAATTGTGTTAATTTCAACTTCAACTAATATACATTTCATTTATTCCACAAAACATATTTCCAGAAGTAACTCACACGATATACAAATGATAGCCTTGAGGCATTAATCATGTATGAACTAATCACCATAAACACTAATACTGAAATGTCAAAACAAATGAAACATAGAGAGACCAATTAAAATTTAAAAAAAAAAAAAAAAAAAAAAAAAAAGCACCTACAAAGCAAAGAGTTTTGAATCTGTTACAGCTGCATGTGGAAATTCCCAACTAAAATTCCCGAAGCGAAAGAGAAGGATAAATTCAAAACCAATGAAACATATGCTTCACTTATCCTTACTGTTTTCATCTCTGACGGAAATCAAAACCCTCCTAGTTTGTGTCATAACAACTAATCATGTTCCAGAAATTTATCATTTATTCTTATTATTTGTTGAGAATATACCCTATATTGGAAAATTGTGGGATCTCCCTTTGGCTTATAAGAGTGAAGGGCCACTCCACCTATCACCAATTGGTTTTAGGTTAGAAGCCCGGATCCCTTCTTAACACTATTAAAAAGGAAATAGGGAAGGGCGGGTTACCTTGTGACAAATAACTGATCATTTGTTGGGCACAAGACAAGACTTCTAAGCTTTCTTTTGTGTTGGCTGGACAAATAATTAGCAGTCTGACAGTGGATAGTGAGTGGTGAAGGGCTTTTGTTGATCAACTTAATCAAATCTTTATGTTCTCGCTGTTCTGTCATTGAAGCCAAACAGTATGAATAAACTATGATAGAACATGAACCAAAGCATATGAAAACCAGAGTGGCTAGAAACCATGTGCCCATTCAACAAAAACATAAACATATGAAAATAATTGTAGTCATTGAAAAGGATTAACAAAAGAAGTCAAACCAAGTTTCCGCTTTGCTCCCTTGGGCTGATTATCCAGCTCAGACGATTTCTTATAGGCTTTTTCTTGCTTCGCCTTGGCCATAGTGTTGCTGTGATGCAGCATTGAGGCGGACACTGATCCAGAACCATCGGAAATTCTGTTTACAGTTTCTGTTGCCTTTGTTGGTTTAGTATTTGGTAAGACAGCAGATGGTGCAAGATGTGGTCTAGACTGTGTTTGGTTTTTCATGTTGTGTCCTCGAATATTAGCCAATTTATTTTGGCTGTCCTTCAACCTTTTCTTTGCATCGTTAAGCTGCAACACCACACACAAGGTCATTGACCCATAGAAGAAAAAGTTGCTGAAATAAAGACATTAATCGGATCAGCTATAACTCTCTTTTTCCACTCCAGTTTTTTGTTCTTTGGGCTCTAGCCATCTGATATCTAGGACTATCTTAAGCATAACTAATCAATCTGCCCAAATTGCATCCAAAATGTGACTATTTTGCATATAATATAGATTGGGAGATCACTTGTGGCCTGCAAAAGTGATTGGACACTGATGACACCAATGAGAACAAAATCTAAGTAAAAAGATAAGATAAGAAGTAGTTCCACCATGTAATGTGCAATAACCAAGCCTGTGTTGCTTGCTCCTCTGAACCATTGAATAAGGCCAAAATAGCAAAAAGCTTCCGCTAGATTTGCAAATGCACAAATTACTTGCACACATATGAAAAGGTCCAACATTATGTGAATGGAAATTTAGGCTATGTTCTTTTTCATGGATTTCTCAAATATTTATTCTATTGACTTAATTTTTTCCTACAAAAAAATATCAAACCAAATAACTATTTTTCATTTATTACATTATACTAAAAAATCAACTTTACATTCAAAATATTACATCAAACAACTATTTAAATTCAATCTTTTACTATTGAAAAATCCAAACCCAAATTCCAAATCCACAAACAAACACACCTTGTTTTAGAAAAAGCCCTAATCATTTAATGATATATATCTAAAAGTGAAGAAAACACTAATACATAATTTCTTATCACAAATCATTGTTTCCATGCAATTATAAGCTTTTGTTAAAACATGTATGAACTAAACCAGTGGTTCCAAAAAGTTAGAACAGCTTCAAAAAGCCTGTACTGCATGGATCACTTAAACAAATGAACCCGCTACTAACTGCCAATTTGCTTCCTAAATTAAGTATCACATCCTCAAAATCCTAGGAAATCAAAGCTCAGATGCCTTTAGCAGTCGAGCACAATTATGCATCGCATTCCTATCAGTCGGACGAACCTCGATTAAGAGAAAAACAAATCAGCATCATCACCATCAATCCTCCACATTGACTAAATACTTCAGGACAGTAGCAAATTTGATCTCAAGTCATAAGGTCACCAATAATCAAATTCAAACCAAAAGATAATAAGAATAACACGTTTCAACTAAAAAGTGCTCAAATAAGATAATAAATGAAAGCGCCCAAAAGTTTAAAAAGGAAAAGCAGCAATAAGCAATAGATATATAACCTGGGAGTTATAGTAGGTAATTCGTTGGCTCAGGTGTTCAACTTCTTTTTGGCGATGCTCTATGAGGGCGATTATAGCTTCTTCCTGCTCATTCCTGATCTGCTCCTTAGTTTCATTATTTCCATCTCGTTCTGGTTTTGGTTCTTCTAATGGCTCCACCTCTTCAATAGTGTTTTCTACTCTCTCGAATTTGGGTTTCTTGAGGGGTGAATAGCCGCTCATTTTCGTGAAAAACTACGAATTCTTGTTCGCCCGGATTATCGGGCAGATGAAAGAGAACGTACGCTGTTCCTAATGTGCTTAGGGTTGGTTGTGTACAAAGCGTGGAAGAAAAATAGTACCCGGGAGGCTAGGACTTGGTATGTTATTTCTGCTATGACATATTATATATAGGTGTCATTAATTTATAATGCTTTGATATGTGTCAATATTGTATTATGCCAACCAAGCTAAGTTGGTGACTAATCTTTTGTAAAATTCTTATAAATATGGTTTTATGGGACAAATAAAGGTGATATAAAAATTCTCACTATTTTGCATGTTTCTCTTATTCTCTCCCTCGACTTTCTCTTTCTCTCTAATTATATACACATATCTATACATATATATATATATTTATCTAAGTTATCTTTATATACATTATATACTTATATTTATATCATATTTGATATATTTCATAACACGTTATCAGCACGAGGCTTTGCCGAGGAAGTGCATATAAAGATAACGTATTTTTTTGTTGTTGTTTTTGTTATATTACTCGGAAGGTTGCGGAATTTCTGAAGAAGAAATATGAATGTTGAACATGTTATAATGAATAATATCGAAGACAGTTCATGTCTCATTGATAGTGCATCAACGCACACCGTTTTGAAATATAAAAAATATTTCACCAACCTGAAATTGGGAAAAATTGAGGTGAATACCATAAGTGGTTGTGCGAAGTTAATTGAGGACTCTGGAAGAGCAATAATATTTCTCCCTGAAGGAGTAAAACTTGATATCCAAAATGCACTATATTCTAGTAAATCTCAAAGAAATTTGTTGAGTTTTAATGATATTCGCAGAAATGGATATCATATTGAGACATCAAGTGTGGCAAATAATGAATTTTTGTTGATTACAAAATTCATTGATGGACATAAATGTATATTAAAAAATTGCCTTCATTATCTTCCGGATTATATTGCACAAAGATTAATGTGGTTGAAACATATCCGGTAGACCAGAAGTCTACAGATTTTATGATTTAGCATAATCGGTTTGGGCATCCTGGTAATACTATAATGAGACGAATTATTGAAAATACCAATGGCCATAACTTGAAAGATCAAAGGGTATTAAATACAAATGAGTTTATATGTGTTGCTTGTTCAAAAGGGAAGTTAATAACTAGATCATCACCGGAAAAAGTGGGAACTGAATCCCCTTCATTTTTAGAACGAATTCAGGGTGATATATGTGGACCTGTAGATCCACCATGGGGACCATTTCGATATTTTATGGTACTTATCGATGCATCTACTAGATGGTCGCATGTGTGTTTATTATCTACCCGCAATTTGGCATTTGCGAGGTTGCTTGCTCAAATAATTAGATTACGAGCTCAGTTTCCAGATCACCCAATAAAGAAAATTCGTCTTGATAATGCTGGTGAATTTTCATCCAAAACATTTGATGATTATTGCATGTCTATTGGAATTGACATTGAACATCCTGTACCTCATGTACATACTCAAAATGGTCTAGCTGAATCACTTATAAAAAGGCTGCAATTAATTGCAAGACCTATGCTAATGAAATCCAAACTTCTCATATCTGCTTGGGGATATGCAATTAAGCATGCAGCAACAGTGATAAAATTAAGACCGACAAGCTATCATAGCTACTCCCCAGTACAATTAGTGTACAATGAAAAGCCCAATATTTCACATTTGAGAACTTTTAGGTGCGCGGTTTATGTGCCAATTGCACCGCCCAAACGTACAAAAATGGACCCTCAACGGAGATTGGGGATATATGTCGGGTACGAATCACCATCTATCATTAAATATCTTGAACCATTGACTGGTGATTCATTTACGGCTCGTTTTGCTGATTGTCATTTTGACGAGTCGCATTTCCCGATATTAGGGGGAGAAACTGATCAACTGAAAAAGGAAATTACTTGGAAAATACCATTCAGTTTTCTTGATCCTCGTACAAGTCAAAGTGAATTAGAGGTACAAAGAATTTTACATTTGCAGCGAATAGCAAATCAGTTGCATGATGCTTTTTGTGACGCCAGCAGGGTCACTAGATCTTATATAGCTGCTGAAAATGTACCTGCTAAAATTGTTATTCCTGGAGACAAAATACAAAGTGCTAATGAATCAAATGTACGCTTAAAGCGTGGCAGACCTGTAGGTTCCAAAGATAAAAATCCTCGAAAGAAAAGAGGAACAAATGAAAGGATTGAAGATTTGAATGTTAATCAAAACCCTTAAGAAACAGATAGTAACATGGATCAGATTTCTAGAGAAATTGATCCTGATAAACTTGATGAGGATGTTAATCCTAATAGAATTTCTTCTGAAGAGAATGAAATTATTGAAAATTCAATAAATTATGTTACTACTGGAAAGCATTGGAACCGAAGTGATACAATTATGGATAATGCTTTTGCATATAATGTAGCACTTGATCTAATGGAAAATGACGATGATCAAGAACCTAGATCAGTTGATGAATGTCGGAAAAGAAATGATTGGCCAAAATGGAAATATGCGATCCAGTCTGAATTAAATTCACTGGCAAAACGAAAAGTTTTTGGACCAATTGTTCAAACACCTGAAGGTGTTAAACCTGTTGGCTATAAATGGGTATTTGTTCGAAAGCGAAATGAGAATAATGAAATTGTCAGATATAAAGCAAGACTTGTTGCCCAAGGTTTTTCACAAAGACCTAGAGTTGATTTTAATTAAACATATTCTCCAGTAATGGATGGAATAACATTTCGATATCTTGTCAGTTTGGCAGTACATGAAAATTTGGATATGCGTCTGATGGACATTGTAACTGCATATTTATATGGCTCGTTGGATAGTGATATTTACATAAAAATCCCTGAAGGATTTAGTATGCCTGATGCATATAAATCAAAGCCAAAAGAATGTTATTCTATTAAGTTACAAAAGTCTTTGTATGGGCTCAAACAATCTGGTCGCATGTGGTATAATCGTCTCAGTGAATCATTATTGAAAGAAGGATATGCCAATGATTCTATTTGTCCGTGTATTTTTATAAAGAAAAATGGGAGAAATTTTGTAATAATAGCTGTCTATGTGGATGACTTGAATTTAATTGGAACCCCTGAAGAAATTCAAGAAGCTATTGAATATTTGAAAAGGGAGTTTGAAATTAAAGATTTCGGGAAAACGAAATTTTGTCTTGGTCTACAAATTGAACATTTGGAAAATGGGATTTTGATACATCAATCTGCATATACCCAGAAGGTATTGAAACAATTTGCAATGGATAAAGCACATTCATTGAGTACTCCAATGGTCGTTAGAACTCTCGATCCTATTAAAGATCCTTTTAGACCAAAAGAGGAGAATGAGGAAGCACTTGGTCCTGAAGTACCATATTTAAGTGTTATTGGTGCACTAATGTATCTGGCTAACAGTACTAGACCGGATATAGCATTTGCTGTAAATTTATTAGCCAGATTTAGTGCAATTCCAACACAACGACATTGGAAAGGAATCAAACATATTTTTCGTTATCTCCAAGGATCTATTGATCTTGGTCTATTATATCCAAAAGGATCTCGACATGAATTGATTGGATATGCAGATGCTGGGTATCTTTCTGATCCGCATAAAGCCAAGTCTCAGACTGGCCATATGTTTACTTGTGGCGGTACAGTGATATCTTGGAGATCCACTAAACAAACATTAACCGCCACATCTTCAAATCATGCAGAAATAATAGCAATCCATGAAGCCAGTAGAGAGTGTGTTTGGCTAAGATCAATGATTCATCACATTTTATAGAATTGTGGTTTGAAATCTGAAAATGATAATCCTCCCACTATTCTGTACGAAGATAATGCAGCTTGTATACGGCAACTGAAAGAAGGATATATCAAGGGAGATAGAACAAAACATATTTCACCGAAATTTTTCTTTACTCATGATCTTCAGAAAAATGGTGAAATAAATGTGCAGCAGATTCGATCAGACCAAAATTTAGCAGACTTGTTGACCAAGGCTTTACTGACCGCAACGTTCGAGAAATTAGTAAAGATCATCGGGATGCGTCGGTTGCAAGATTTCAAATGACGTCCACATCAGGGGGAGCAATATTTCAAGTGATGTCCACATCAAGGGAAGTATTTTTAATGCATGAATGACGTACTCTTTTTCCTTAATTAGGATTTTTGTCCCATTGGGTTTTTTCCTAGTAAGGTTTTAACGAGGCGTATTCAATGCAATTAAATGACACCTAAGGGGGAGTGTTATGACATATTATATATAGGTGTCATTAATTTATAATGCTTTGATATGTATCAATATTGTATTATGCCAACCAAGCTAAGTTGGTGACTAATCTCTTGTAAAATTCCTATAAATATGGTTTTATGGGACAAATAAAGGTGATATAAAAATTCTCTCTATTTTGCATGTTTCTCTTCTTCTCTCCCTCGGCTTTCTCTCTCTCTCTAATTATATACACATATCTATACATATATATATATTTATCTAAGTTATCTTTATATACATTATATACTTATATTTATATCATATTTGATATATTTCATAACAATTTCATTGGTTTTCATGTTTTTCTACCCAACGATTTTTTCACGTGAACAGATGAAAACAAATTATTTTGTACTGAATTTTTTCATTTTTATACTTCTTTTTGCTTCGACTAATATTCGTATATTTTGATTAAGTTTTGCATTTTCTTTCAGTTTATTGTAATTTTAGGTCTATTTTAATTTTAATAATCAATTTATTTTTATGTTTAGTTTTCTAGAATTTTAAACATTGTGTGTGGAATATTTTCTTGAATAGGATAATATTTAATTATAATTTCAACCGATCATATAGAGTAAATAATCTAACTAAAAATTTTAACCACAATATAAATATTTAACATTTATTTATTATTATTAATATATGTTTATATGTATTTAGATATTGTATATATCTTTTTACTTCATAATAATTATAATTCTTTTTTGAAATATATTAGGTTATATATCTAAATTACCATATTTTTATAGAAAAAACAATGAACAATTGATTTGAAACTAATCATTTTATTTGATTTTTACAAAATATATATTGGGTGTGTTTGTTGGAG